ACAGCCTGTCCAGGCCCCACTTGCTGCCTGCCTCCCTGCTCTCTGGACTCCTCGGGAGCCTGCACACTCTGCTGTGAGATCGGATTGTTTCTCTTCCACGTGTGGGCCCAGCTTCCCAGCCCAGCGCTGACCAGGGCACGTGGGTCCATCTCGGGCCAGCCCTCGGCTCGTTCCATCGGCAAGAGGCTAGGTCAGCCACGTACCTGGCAGAGCCCCCGGGCTGGTCACGGTGGTGCTCAGTGGCCCACGGTGTCACCTGCGGGCCTCCAAGGACACCCCTGTGAGGAGAATCTCCCTTGGACGCTCAGAGGGAGGCAACATGTCCTGAACCACAACTTACAGGGATAGGTCAAAAGCTACAGGCTGGGTGCTGGGCCCCTCCAGTGGGTTGGGGGAGGGGTGAAAGAGGAGGGAGAGGGCCCTTCGTGGGAGTAGGCATGGTGGTGAGACGCGGACACAAACTAGACTCCACCCAGCACGTTGGGACATAGTCTGGAACACTGGGAGCAGGGGGTGGGGAGCCGGCCAGCCCCAGGCAAGAGCTTTCCATGGAAGGCAGGAGCCCATCTCCTGCTTTGTGAGGCCTGGATTCCCCCACCCTGCTGTGCCCAGGAGTCCCCGGGGGGCAGGGTGGCCAGGGCTCAGGCCTGAGGAGTGATGAGGCCCAGAGAAGCACCACGGAAACTCTCTGGAAAGCACTTGACCCAGGGCCTGGCTGGGCCTAAGGTCGGGCCCCGGGCCCATCATAGAGGAGGGTGTCCACCTGTGCACGCTGCAGCCAGAGGCGCTGCTGGGTGTCACCGAGCAGCACACGAAGTGCGTGACCTAGACGGCAGGCGGGCAGGGTGGCACAGTGCGGGGCGTGCAGCTGGCGGCACGTGTCACAGCAGAGGGTGGGCAGGGCACCGGGAGCCAGGCAGCCGTGTGCTTGGTAGCCGGGGGGTGGGGGGCTGGGCCCGTACCCACGCTGGGGGCTGGCCCGCCCCGACCTCCCTGGGTCTCCAGGTCTGCTTAGCAGCTCTTGGCGCAGCGACAGGAAGGAGAAGGCGTCAGGCTCTGGCTCCGGCTCCTCCTTCAAGGCCCCGTACGGCGGGCTGCCGGCCTGCGGCAGCACCTCAGCCTCCCCTAGTGGCTCCCAGGCCCCTCCCCTGGCACCCCACAGTTTGGCGCTCTGTCCCCAGAGTGGAGGCCGGCAGGCCAGCTCTGGGGGAGGGGAGTCGGGGCCCGGCGAGGGCCCCCCATACAGGCTGGCCTCCTCCGAGCCCTCGTCCTCCTGCAGGTCCCGGTATAGGTCCAGCTGCGTCTGGAACACGGTGGGGGAGCCCCGGGGGGGCAGAGGTGGCGGCTCCTCTTCCCGGGCCAGCCGCTGCTGCAGCCAGGCCACGCAGGAGGCCACATCCGCGCTGGCCCGCCGGGCCTGCAACAGCTCCTCCGCTGGCAGCACGCTGGTCCCCAGCTGGGCCAGCACCTCGCCCAGGATCTCACACTCCAGCCGCAGGGCAAAGCAGCCCAGGGCTACCTGCACCAGCTGGCAGGCGGGTGGCAGGGCAGCCATCGTCAGGCGGTGGTTGTCCCTGGGCACGTAACCCATCTTCTGGAAGCTCTGGATGAGGAGGTCCTCTGAGAGGGCACCTTTCAGCACGTGCACGTAGCCCCCGGAGAAGGTCTGCGGAGGAGGGTCCCGGTCACCAGCAGCCCACACTCACCTCCATTCTGGCTTTGGCTGGCTCCAGGGGCCACCAGCCTCACCCCAGAACCGGGGCAGTTTCGGGCTGTGCTGACATGCCCATGGGAGGAGCTTCTCAGCAAAGCGTGCTAGGGCCCGCCTCCCGAGACCCGCTTTAGTTGCTGGGGCCGGCGAGGGAAATAAATCTCACTTCCCTCGGGGTCTCCTCCACCTCCTGTCACCTCCGGGGCTTTGCTGAGATCTGGTCCTGCACAAATAGGGGTGCTTATCTGCCCTTCTGATCAGGTGGCCTCCCCAACACGTCCTGAACTCGCCTTTGCACTTGTCTTGGAGAGCCTTTCCCATGGAGACCGAGGCTTAGCCACGCGTTTTATCCAGCTGTGCCTGCCACCACGTGGGTGCACCACCTGTACTGTGTGGAGGCTCCACTGTGCAGCTGGGCGGAGAGCCCGGGAACGCCAGACAGGAAAGTGCCTCCCGGGTCGCATTTTTTGAGGATGACGGTCATGTGGGTCTCCCGGTCCTAAAATTCTATCACTCTGGGATCCTGTCAGCATTCCTCTGCTTCTAGCTGAGGATGACACGTCCGGTAGACTGAGCACTACCGCGTGCAAGCATCGTACTCAGGGCTCACAACAGACCTGGGACTGGCTTATTCTTGTGTCCGCTTGACAGACAAGGAAACGGGTTCAGGGAGCTTAGGTAACCTGCACTAAGCCACACGGCCAAGAGGAAGTAGGACCAGACTGCAGCCAGGTCTGACCGACACTGAAGGGTGTCTCCCGCCCCGTTATCCGAATGTTAAAGCCCTTGAACTTCTGACCAGCAGGTGTCCCCATGAAGCAACAAAGCTCTAGAGCTCACCCTTTGAGAGAGGGGGAGGGGCGGGGGGGGGGGGGGGGGGGGGGGGGGGGGGGGGAGACAGAAAGCGGCCGCTGCCATGGCAACCGGCGGAGGTGGACTCGCCCACGTGCCCAATGACATCAGCACCTTCCTACTCTTCCAAATTAGCTTTGAGGGCCAAATGCCTGCCCCCTCGGCAGGCTGGCAGCTCACCTACGGGATCAGGCCAGCCCTGGACACAGCCTCTGTACCTGAACGAGTGGTGGACTTGGTCCAGACCCCCAGGGTGTGCAGGGTCCCCAGCTCGTGCCTACTTCATAGGGGATACACCCGCCCAACACTCCCCTATAAATGGGATCATGGAGGGATTAGAGTGATCATGGAACCTCAAGTTCCTCTCGTGCACCTGTCCTAGGATTTGTGCTACAGGAGCCGCGGGGCCACTGTGGGGAGAGCAGTGATTCCAGTTTTGAGGAGCAAGGATTCCACCCCGCCCAACCCAGAAGGCAGGCACCCAGGGTGGGTGGCCTCCACCCACACCATGTTTTCAGCCCTGCGAGTGTCCAGGGGGACCTTGGCCAAGAGCTGCCCCCAAGGCTTCCAGGATCCCCCAGGGAACTCTGACCTCGGCACAGAGCATCCTGGGTAGGGGAGCCCTCTCGGCCCAGTGCCCTACCTTGATGGTGGTGAACTCCTTCCTCCAGGGTAGCAGGTACAGGTGCACGGCGGCCAACTCCAGCAGCTCGAAGGCGCGGGCCAGGCCGCGCAGCGCGGGGGCCAGGTCGGCGCGGCCCCACAGGCCGTCGGTGAGCAGCGCCAGCGCGTCGTCCTGCAGCGCCCCGTGCAGGTCGAAGTCTTCAACCAGGATCTGCCACAGCACCGCGCGCAGCGATGGGTCCCCGCACACGCCCGCGCGGCCGCGCCGCAGCTCACGCTCCAGGCACAGGCGGTAGTCCTCGGACAGCGAGCTGCTGCCCATTCTGGCGGGCGGGGGTCGCGTGTCAGGAACCAGAGACCTCTCCCTGCCGGTTGTGCGCCCCCCAGAGCCTCCACCCAGCATCCACATGGTCCCCCCGCAGCCCGGCGACCTCGTCAGCTGAGCGGACCCCAGGGCCTACAGCACCCCGCCAGCTGCGTCCCCGCTCCCGAACAGAGAGACCCCGCCTCGCCCACCAGGGAGTGCTGCGGACCCAGCGAGCGACCGCACTACCTGCGGGTCCCCACCTCTCGGCTCGGAGCTCTTCCGCCGCCTGCGGCTCCGCCCATCGGCCTCGGCCGTGACGCTCGGGGCGGGGCCTGCTCGGGCACAGCCCCCTCTGCTAACACGGGCGGGGCCGAGCCGGGGGGCGGGGCCTTGTGCCGCCCAGCTGAGCACCTGCACCGCGCACCTGTACGGCCAGCTGCCCCCTCGTCTCCCGTCTACCCACGGCGCCGCCGGGGCCGTTGGTGGCCGACCCTGGGCCGGGGCTCGGGCGGGCACACGAGGAACGGTGCGTCCCAGCAGCCGCTCCCTCTGAGCCAGGTGCTTGGAGCGCCGGCGCCCCTCGAGCGACCCAGCTCCGGCCCAGCGCTCAACCAGCGCACAAGGAGGTGAGCTTCGCCGTGGTTAGAACAGCAGCCTCGGGTGGGCGGGGCGGCCTCAGTTTCTCCGCGGGCTCACCTTCCTGGTGTGTGAGCGCATCATCTGGGGGTCCCTGAGGCGGCGTGAAGGTCCCTTCCTGACTAGGCCAGCGTCGTTTCCAGGCCCCTGAGCCGAGGCCGGCGAAGCTCAGGTCTGATCCCGGCCACAACTCCCTGGGGACATTTTTTCTTGCTCTGCTTTGGGCTCCGCTCAGCGCTGAGGCCACTTGGGTGGACGAGGGATGGGAGAGATTTGGTCCTTGGGAGTCCCAACTCAGCGCAGGGAAGGTCTTCGTAGACCTGCCTCCCTGGGCACCCTGCAGCTGGGTTTCTGGGCCCCTCGCCTCTCCAGGACACTTTTTTGTTGGCCCCGCCTGGGAAGACGTCTCTGAGTTTTCCCTCGGCAGTGCTCTGCAATATTGTTTTTAGATTTTTCAAATGGGACTTCTGGAAAAAACACGGTAATGAAGCGAGGGATCGATCTCCTTGAGCCATTTTGCCGGCCACCACCCAACGTGGAGGTATTTCACTTCCTGCGTACTGAGCCCAACCGTAGGGCCACGCCATGCCTGAGGGGACAGGTAGCTTCTGGTCACCTTCTCTTGCTTGTGTGCAGAAGGGTTGAGCTTAACCACTCTCTTCAGTTCACCGCTGAGTTCATAGTGGTCTTCGGATGCAAGGCCCCCCATGTTGCGTTCATCCAAGGCCACAGCCCCATCCCTAAAAGACGACCAGTGAGTGTGGCGAATGGGCGTCCTCAGTGCACCCTTGCACAGCCTGCAGGGCAGGACCTCCAGCTCTAAGTAGATGGTGTTCTGCCCTCTGCTTCTTCGAGTCTGCAGTCGGTGCTGTTTGGGATTCGTCTCTGTTGCCGTGTGCGACTCCAGGCACTTGCTCTGTGCTGCTCTAGGGCATGTGGCTCTTCTCAATGTGACACTAGAATCAGGGTGGGTCTTTGCAGCTGCTTCCACACAGACTGGAAGTGACATTGTGTGGTTTCCCAGGTTGAGTCCTTAAAATACCTCGTTGTCTTGGAGCGTTCGCTCTTGGAATCCAGCCATCCGTGGGGTAGCTGGCAGCCACATGGAGAGACCTCTCATGGGGCTGAATGTCTCCCCGTGTTCATGTCCACCTATAACCTGGGCATGTGAGCATATTTGGAAACAGGGTCTTTGCACGTGTCATCAAGTTAGGATGAAGTCATGCTGGCTCAGGATGGACCCTAGACCCACAACTGGCCTCTGGGGTGGTTGGGCCCAAACCACCTGCCTCAGTGGCACTCAGGTTGCCAGGAGACCCTCCTCCCCTGGCAGATGCTGCCTGAAGCATCTGGGCTGGGCTCCCTGCTTTCTCTTCTTCAGAGGTGACACCTGTCACAACTCAGGGCACCCGTGTGCATTTCCCACCTGGAGAATGAAGAGGTTTTCCTGAGAGCCCTTCAGGCCAAGAGGTCCGGCCCCAGGTCCTGTCCAGTGATGATGTCTGACTCTGCCCTGCCTGGCCCCCTAGGCCCTGCAGAGCGTGTCCTGTCCTAGAGGGTGCAGCCCTAGGGGGATCCCTCTTCTGCTCCCCCCTCCCCCCGCCCAGGGTCTGGGGTGGTAGAGCTCAGTGGGCTCTGTGACAGTCTGGCTCTTGTTGGTCAGCAGGGGAGGTGGTCGCCCTGCTTGGGCCTCCACACGACCAGTGGGAGGTACCAGTGAGAGAGACAGATGCAGAGAGAGACACCAGTGACCTCTTTATTTCTGGCCGTGTCAGTGGCTGCCCGGGGCATGTAACAGAGCGGACGCTGCGCTGCAGGCAGGCGTTGATCCTCGGCTTCACGCTGACCCAGAAAGGGACGTGCAGGGCGGGAATCAGCCAGAGGCCCCAGGATGTCCAATGCCTACTGCCGAGGGAGGGCACAGCTCAGAGGCCCCAGACGCGGGTGGGCACCCTGGGGAGGCCTGGGCTACAGAGGAGAGGGGAGTGCTCAATGCCCCGTAAGTAAACAGTATAGCTTCAGACCACCTGGGCTCCAGGCCTTGGAGGCAGGGGATGGGGACGGCTCTCTCCTTGACCCCAACAAGAAACTGGCACCGGAAGCTGGCTGTCACAGGAGATGGGAAGGGAGAGAAAGCAGATCTGCCCTCTGCCAGGCCTACGGCTCCCTCCCTACCCTTGAGTGGCTGGGTCTGTGAGGGTGCACAGGCCCCAGGAGAGTCCACAGCTCTGGTTTCCCTGCACAAAGTCAGGCTGAGGAAAGAGAAGGGCCTGGCTCCCAGGAGCTGATTCGGCTCAGATCTATCCTCTGAAGAGCACAGGGGCCTCCTCAAGGCCCTAGGGCAGACGTCCGGTCAGGGCACGAGTGAGAGCTGCAGAGCCCCGCCACAGCCGGCCTGCTGCCGCCCCCCCACCCAGAGCAGGTGACTCCTGGTGGTCCTCCGCAGGTCCTGTCCTGCTCTACTTGCCCAGGGCACCCCGGGGCAGCAGCTCCACGTAGCTCAGGGCGCTCTGTAGTGACGTCAGGCAGTAACCCTCCTCTCCGATCAGGTACCTGCGTAGAGACAGGCACGGGTAGCACCTGTTACCTGCAGGGGATGCAAAGAAGCCCCCAGCACCTTGGACGGGGTGTCTGCCCTCGTGGGGCAGGACCTGGACACTGAGGTCGCACAGGGGTCTGTCATGGAGGCTGGGCTGGAGGACACACGCTGCTCAAGGGACGGACCCCCAGCCTGGGAGCAGGTGCCCAGTGCCCCGTGCTGGCCCGACTCCAGCTGGGGGCTCCTACCCCTCATGGATGAACTCCTCCAGGGCTGCGCATTCTGACACCAGCTGGGGGAGACCGCTTCTCAGCACCACGAAGGACAAGATGGGCAGCAGGTCGTCGGCACCGCTGTTGGGTAGAGGCACGGCTGGCCGGTAGGCTCCGGGGGCCATGATGGCTGCTCAGTCCCCATAACCCTGCAGCCCCCAGCTCGGCCTCTGGACTGGTCCTGGGCTTGCCGGCTGCTCTCCCTGCACCCCTCCTGCCCGCCTGCGTGGGGGAGTTGGGAGTAGACTCAGGTCAGCGGCACCAGCAGCCACTACAAGCGGCAACGCTGTCCCCGAATGGGGACCCTGTGCTGCAGAGCCCATGGCTGGGTCAGCAGAGGCCCCCACAGCGGAGGTATCGGGTAGCCCCAACCTCACAGGCTCGCCCTGCAAGCCTGCCCACACCTGGGGAACGGCTAACGGAGGGGATGGCCCAGGTCCCAGGCAGCCTGCTTACTACACCTGGGATCGGAGCCAGGCGCGGCGATCCTCCGGAAGAGGCATCTAAGGGAGCTGAAAAGGTGCCAAGGGAGGCCCTGCAGGACACACAACACCCGGGCCCAAGGGGCCCACGGGCGGCAGTCTCTGGGAAGAGCGTGAGAGCAGCCTGTGGCTTGAGTGTGACCCCCAGCCAGGAAGGCCTCACACACCATGAGCTCTGGGTTGCGGCCCCGCCTCCACCGCCCTGGGCACCACACTCCTGCAGAAACGCGGACAAACTACAACATGGCCCTCACTGGCTCCTCAGACGCACAGAGGAGACAGGTGACATGGGGCTGTAGCCCGGACTCAGAAACGCGGAGTCCTACAACTGTTTTTCCGACAGCTACTTCTGCAGCAGCCGCGTGGTGAACTGGCGAAGGGGTCTCCCCCACCCCGACCCAGAAGCTGAGGTCTTGTACCCGGCCCTGGGGTTGGTGGGGCTGCTGGTCCCAGGTGGGTCCAGGTGAGACTGAGACAGGACCAGGCGTCAGAGCCCCAGGTAGAGAAAACGCCTGCCCTGCCTCTGGACGGTGGGGACACAGATGATGCAGGAGCCCCAGGTCTGGGGGCTCAGCACAGAGAGCAAGCTCTTCATGGAGGCTGGAGCTGCCTCCCCAAAGCGTGCAGCTGAGGGACCGAGTCCGTGTTCCTGTGACAAACAATGCTAAATTGCACTAGATTAGCCAGGCGGTCCCTGACCCGTAAGTAACCTGCCCAGAGCCCAGAGCCTTGGGCTGCAGCCCCAAGCCCTCGGTGGAAATGGACACTCTCCTGGATAAGCCCTGCGAAGCTCACTGTAGCCCCAAGGATGCTGGGGCCCAGGGGGGCCAGACACCAGGTGGGAAGCTGTGGTCCCGGTGCTCGGGGCAGGACGGGAGGGTTCTCTCTCCCCCCAGGCCTCTGCAGGCAGCCCCTCACTTGCTCACTGCCCCCCCCACCCCCACCCCGGGCCGTGGGCTTTTGGGACTCACATGGCTGCGGCACCAAGCTGGGGTCTGGCCTCAGACGCAGCCTCCTGGGCCCGGCAGTAACCCTCGGCACAGGCACAGATAACCCGCAGGACCCGCACTGTGGCCCAAAAGTGAGGCTTCAGGAGAGGGCCGAGGGGAGCCAGTCCCAGAACAACCCCCTGGCACCGGCCCCTCCCGGCACAAGTGGAGCTGGCAGAACTGGGAAGCTCCCGCCCGAAGATACTGCTCTCACACCGCTTCTGTCCTGTGAGACACACCCCCATTTTGACAAGAATAAGGTCTGCACTTCAGAGGCACACAGAGACCCCAGGTCACCCTCTGGGAAGGGACTTTATCCGACCACGTTCCCCCTCCTGTCCTCCCAAACTGCAGCCCCCTCACCGATGCACTCCAGCTTCTTCTGGGGACAGCTCTCCAGAACCAGCAACCCCAGCTCCTGGGCTGCAGCACAGTAGGGGAAGGCACCGGCTCCTGTGGCCTCCAGGCCCCGGGGCAGGAGCTTCGTGGGAACGCCTATGGCCGTCGGGGGCGCGTTCCTGTAGAGCTCCATGCTCCTGCTCAGGGCGGCCTCCCGGAGGCGGTGCACGCTCCTGGGGCAGAGAGAGGCCGGGCTCAGCGGCCCGAGGGGCTCTGCCCCACGGACAGAAGCGGGGCTAGGGAAAGCTCGCCGTGCCCAGAGTCACAGGTTCTTGCAAAGCAGAAACATCTAAGGATGGCCTCAGAGTAGAGCACCAGCTGGAAGCATGGTCAAAAGTGTGCCTCAGGGATCAACGAGCGGGGAAGGCCCCTGTGGAGGCCTGAAACTGGGATCATACCTGTAGAGTGCCAGCAGCAAGGGCCACAGTGGGGAGAAGAAAGGCTCCTCGATGCAGGCCAGGCATCGGTCCTTGGAGGCGGCCGCATTCAGGCCTTCGAAAGCCAGGAGAGTCAGCGAAAGCAGCCTGTCTGCCGGGAGCAGAGCCGGCACAATGGCACTGTGGGGACAGCCAGGCCCTCCGGCCCCAGGCTGGCAGCCCCTGGAGATCATCCCCAGCCAGCCCGGGGTGCCCAAGTGGGCCCCATACCTGTCATCCCCTCTCCCACCCTCCTAGAGCCAGCCGCAGTGTGGGGAGAGCCGCAGGGTTCCGGCTCAGTGGAGAGCGCTCTGTCTGAACCTCCCTCCACTCCCCTCACCCCCCCCCCCCCAACTTCTGTGTCCATGGGGCCTGGGGTCAGAGCACTTAGGAGCTCACAGAATCATGCCCAGCTCCCCCGAGGAACTAAGACGACAGGCTGAGAAAAAGCAAAGGACAGCCTCTTTCTGAAGGGGTTTGCACCCCAAACTGTGGGAACCTGGAGGAATTTTAGAGGCATATTTAAAGACAAGACCTGAGGCCCCGGGAGATGGGAGGCCCATCCAGGGTCCCTGCTAGAGCTTTGGGCCCTGTCGGGCCTGCCTCACTGACCCCTGGAGAACCCTGAAAGCCTTCCTCCTTGGGAGTCCCCAGCCACCCTAGGCACCCAACCCTTAGAGAATCCACACACTATTCTCAAAAATGGAAAAGGCTGCAGAGACGAGCCCGTTGTCACCACCACCAGGCCGCACACACCCAATGGTCCTTGGTTCGGAATCACCAGAGCCCAGCCCTACGGGCCAGCCAGGACCACCTGGCAGCCAGAGCCTCTGAGAGCAGGCCCTTCCTCAAACAGGAGGCTGGAACGAAGCAGCCCGGTGAGAAGACAACCAACCGGGGACTGGGGAGACCTCGGCCAGGGACCGCAGCTGGCCCAGCTGCTCTCACAGCAGGGTGCATTCCTGTCTGCTCCGCGAGGATTTGCCCCAGAGAAGGGCAGACGCGGAGGGCTCTGCAGATCTGGATGGCCTCCGCCATCCAGAGGAAGGCCTGTCCCTCCCGGGGCCTATCCTGGGCCTGTGGAAAGCTTTGTGCTGCGTGTGTCGGAGCAGCCCCCTCCCCCGCACGCCCGTCCTGCGGGCACGCCGGCCCTCACCGATGGCGTTGTGTATGTCCTTGACGGTACTCTTCAGCTGCTCCGACAACGGCTCCGTCTTCACCCCCGAGGCCTGGGGCTCGGGCGGCCTCCCACGCCCCCGGCCCCACCCCTCAGAAGTGGCCAAGAAGTGTTCGAGGTCCTCGAAGGAGCCGTGTCTGCTCTGCACGCCCGGCGGGGTGTGTGCCAGGGGGGAGGCAGGCCCGGCGGGGCCGCCGTCCGCCCCTCCCTCGGGGGGGCCGGCGTGCGGCGGGGGCGTGGGGGGGCTGCCGTGGGTGCCGTCCGGGGGCCGAGGGGCGGGGC